ATAAATCATTCTTCCTCCTCTTCTGAAGTAGCTCACCATCCACCAGCCTTTGCACTATGCATGGGTGATGGGCATTCAGGATCAAATATTAAGTAGCAAATGCAATGTGCAATGGCATGAGGCCAAGAGAACAAGAGGGTAGAAGAGAGGATGCCAGCCACATACAGAGTTACAGAAGGTAAGTCATCCGGTTTGAGAATCTATAGCATATGTATTAATTCACTGTCTTAGTAAAGATTTCATTGCTTCGATGAAACTCTGTGATCAAGAGCAAGTTGGGGAGGAGAGGGTTCATTTGGCTTACCTTTCCACAGCACTGTTTACCACCAAAGGAACTCAGCACAGGCACTCAAGCAGGGTTGGAACCCGGAGGCAGGAGCTGATGAAGAAGCCGAGGAGGAGTGCTGCTTACTGGCTTGCTCCCCATGGCTCACTCTGCCTGCTTTCTTATAAAAGCCAGGACTGGGACGGGAGATGGCTCAGAAGTTAAGAGTACTGGTTGCTCTTCCCGAGGTCCTGAGTTCAATTCCCAACTACTGCATGGTGGCTCATAACTATTTATAATGGCATTTAAGCAGAACACTGTATATGTAATAAATAAATCTTAAAAAAAAAAAAAAGCCAGGACTATCAGCCCAGGGAATGCACCACCCACCATGAGCTGGGCCCTATCCATTGATCACCAGTTGAGAAAATGCCTTCCAGCTGGATCTCATGGAGGCATTCAACTGAGGCTCCTTCCTCTCTGATGGTTTTAGCTTGTGTCAAGTTGACATAAGACTAGTCAGCACATCCACTAAGAAATATGTAGTAAACTATAACAAAGAAAAGGAAAAAAGAGAGTGAGCAAGCTGGTGACATGGGTCCCTGAGCAGAAGTGTATATTGTACAAGCCTGGTGGCTCGAGTCCATTCCCTGCAACGCTCATGACATTTGGAGGGAGGGAACTAACTCACAAAGTTGTCTTCCGACCTCCACACATGCACCATGGCGTGCACAGGGGCACCTGCGTCATCTACACCAACAGTTGTTAATTTAAAAATGAGAAGAAGCACGGTTTCCATCGCACGGGGCTGCACGCTGTCTGACTCTGGATTATCTGGATGCATTCAACGGCTCATAGCAGCTCACCATGGGCCTGTTCCCAGCCTTTCTCTTGTTTTATTTCTCTTGATGTCAAACATCAAATGCTTAGGAAGTGATGGCATAGCTGCTGTACCGACTGCAAGAGCAGGCAAGCAGCAACATGAGGTCTGGAGGTTGGAAAGGCATTTATAAAACTGGCAAAAATACCCAGCTGGTTCAGGGAGTGGTCTGGAGGTGTGGCTTAGAATCCGGGCAAGGTGAGCCAGCCTTGAAATACAGCCGGTATGTTCTTAGCAGGGCAGTCAGAGGCACTCAAGCATACTGATACACAGGGAGGGCATTGGCACTGCTCTTGCTTTGGGCACGGTAGATAAACAGTATAGTTTGTTCTGAGCTAAACTAGAGGGTGAGGACCAGGAACAAACTATCGGTAGCCCCTGTTCAGAGCCACGCCAGTGATTTGTGATTATCAATGGAAATCAGTTGATTGGACTAAGAAACCCACTCTTGGTTGCATGAGATGCCCTCCATTCTTGTGCCCTGCCACCAGAAGGAAAAAAAAATAACAGCAGAAAATATATCAAATCAAATCAATCCCTTCCTCTAAGGGGCCAATTTCTTGTCCCTCCCTTTGAATGTGTGGGTGGCCTCTTGTTTCTTGCCTGCACCAACATTTTCCATCTCTACAACTTATGAAATAGGGTTTTTTTTTTTTTTGTAGTATGAAAATATTGTATCCGTTAAGGACCTTTTTAAATATGAAAATTACCCAACAATATCTAAGCCCAAACATCTTTGATGTTCAAACCTTAAGAGAGCTATCAGAAGGTCAAAGTAGCGATTGAAAGTTATTTAGGCAACCAGTATGAGGAACTAAAATCTCTGACATAAACCCGATGCACTGAGGTTCTGCCAACTTCCCCACTCACGTTCATACATTTTTTATCATCACAGGAGCTTGAAAATATATATAGAAATTCATAGATTCTGTATTCTATCCTTTAAAAGCTATGACTTTATAGAACACAAACTCATAAACAGAGAGGCTCTAAACTTTAAGGAAACAGCAATTTACAGCTTCATTTGAAAAGGGGAGATAAGTAAATATTTCCAATGGGATTTCTTTCCCCAGAAAAATAATGTCTTTTCAGATGTAAACAATAATGAATCTCCCTCTTAGCTTAGCTGGCATGAATGTACCAAAAAAAAAAAAAAAAAAAAAAATCTCTGCTTAATTACAAAATAAAGCCTAGCCATGAAAATTTCAACTCTCTGTTCTTTTTAAAACAATGCCCCTGTGTGGGCCTTAGAGGACCATGGTGGAGGTACCACTGAGGGTCCAGAAGAGAAGACCCCCACACACTGTAGCTCCAAACAGCTCTAAGGTTTTTGAACAGACAAAGAGACTCAAAGGTGTTATATGAACTGAACAAAAACCTCAATATAGACTTGTGCCTTTCAGTGTGACCTCTGATCCCAGGAGACATTAAGTTTTATCTCAAGGAACAACTACTATTTATTCAACCTTATCAGTCATCAGTTTCAAAGTGTTTCAGTGTGACATGAACCACATGCAAAGTAGAAAAATGGAATTGAATTTATTTATTTTTAATTCACTTATGAAGGAACGTCACTTGCAGTGTATCAAAAATTTGTTTGGGGGAGGAGAAAATTAATTTATGCACAGTTCTTATTTAAGAGTGTCTTAGAGGTTAAAAACCTTCCCTATTGGAGAAAAACGTAACACGTACAGTGTTAAAGGGGAGAGAAAACAATAGAATATTTTAAGAGAGAATGTTTACAGGGAAGTGAACAACAGGTTGTCCTAAGGAGAGGTGAAATAGTCTACATTGCAGGGAAGCTCATTAAGACAGGAAGTAAGCAGCTCAAAAGAGCTCTTCAAGCCTCGAAACTGGTCAGATTCACTAGGCTCCTCTATCCTCAAGGTTGTACGTGCAGTAGAGAGAGCCCGGAAACACTCTCAGATAAGCCTGGATACCTGGAAGAAGCAGAGGCCAGCTGAGCCACCTGGAGAGGACACCCTCTAACCCCACTCAGCTGCTTGCCAGTCATGCAATAAGCTCTAAGTCTTCAGCTTTGGTGAGCTGTTGCCCCGTGCTGTGGAGGTGGGATTTGGTGATGCAGCTGTCTCTGAGTCATTTCTTCTCCTGTGAGTCACCCCTCACCTATATTCCTGTGAGTAAGACCAGCAAAACTCATTGGTCCACCAAGTTAGACTTTGATGGTATCGTCACTTGGTCTGTCACCAGTTCCTTGTCTGGGATCAAATGTTTGAATTGGTGTCAGGCACACCAATAAGGTAATATTGTTTTGTTTTGTTTTTCCCTCGAGTGACATTTTAAGAATATGTGGAACATTAAAAAAACATAACTATCTTATCGTGCTTTCAATTATTCTCTCTCTCTCTCTCTTCTGTTTTTTTGCAAAAGTCAACTTCTTGTTCTGTAACTCAGACTAAGCTTGAGCTTCCTGCCCTTTTGCCTGAGCCTTGTAAGAGCTGAGATTACAAGGAGGTGCTTCGATGGCCAGTGTGGTTTTAGTTTATATCTGGAATTATGCAAGAAATTTTTCTAAAAATTTGCTTCACTAAATTCAAGATACCATTCAGTGGTCTCATCATTTCGTCACAGGAGATGTATAATTAATACTACCCTAACTGACTTAGCACATGAAAGTCTCATTTGCAGTTTCAATAAAATATTTAAGCAAAAGACCTCCGTCTGAAACCATGCATGGTGCATGATGCTCAAATGAATGGTTTACAAAGCACATTTAACATAAGTCCATGAACTGGAGCTCATAGGAAAATACTGTTAGAACTGATGCGATCAAATACTTTACTCTGGTAATAATAAATAAATATACCGGGTGAAAAATTCTAAAATATACATTCTAAAACATAAAAGTGTAAAAAACTGGGATTTGCAATATTCCTGTAGATTAAAGTGAAAAATGTAACTGGGAGGGCTTCTGGGTTTGATAATTTGGACAGTGTTCCTAAGAAGGTCAGTCTATTACTGTAGCTAGCAATTAGTAATTTAAACAGGGACATGTTTTTCTGAGGACACCTGGGGCTCTGAGGTAGTGAAAGAAAACTCGTTAAAAACTCACATGGCCTCCCCTTAGTAGAGAAGGAGTTTCTAGGCTCTGCCTGGTCGACAGCTTGAAGCCACTCACAGCATAGGGTTGGAAGCCTTCTGGACCAGCAGGTGAGAAAAGCCAGTGCAGTGGGCCATGCCTATGCTATGAACAAGGAACTTTGGCACTGGAGACCGCCTAACTTCCACCCTGTGAGCAGTAAAATGTTTCAAGGCCTAGGAGCACAATTCAGTGGAAGAACATTTGCCTAGCATTGCCAAAACCCTGGGTTCAGTCTCTAGGACTTAAAATGAGGGAATAAACTAACGTTAGGATTCCAGCTTTCGGTATAATATGAACATCACAACATGAGATGCAAGTGGGTTTGATGGTGCAGGCTTGTAACCCTAGCACTTGGGAAATGAAGGCAGGAGGATCAGAAATTCAGTGTCATCTTTAGCTATATAAGGAATGTGAAGCAAGTTTGGTCTCCTGACACATTCCAAAAACTAAGAGGAAAAGAGAACACTAAGTACAATATAAAATGAGAAGAAGAGAAATGATTCAAGAAATTGGAACTTAAAGATCTTTCAAGTCTCTTTGAAGGCTATGAAGAAAATGGTCATGAAGTGTTTACTAACATCTTGGTATCCAAATGATTACTGACACCTCTTTAAGAAACATTATGTTAGCCATGCAAACCATTGATTTTATTGTTAGCTTTTAAAAGGTGTCTCGCTTTGTCTTCATGCTACAATTAATTGTCACATCATCAATCAGCCATAGTTGTTAGAGTGTTTAGGATTCAGGCTTACTTTTATCTGCACAATTTTAATTTCGTTTGATCTTATGTCAGCAAGAGACTTCCTTGTCTGGCCTCTTCGGTGTCCAAATTTACACTTATTTCTCATTACTTGTTCATCGTCTTCTATGGGTCTTCGAACATATTTAAAGCGATCTTTGAGGGCTCGTTTCCATAAAAACTGTGCAAAATAACAAAGCAGGCCAGTCAGTTCTTATAAAACTTTGCATAATCCTATAGAACAATAGAATCTCTGTACGTCACTCTTAGGGTTGAAATTATTTTCATCTTGTTGTAATAGAAGCAGTGGATCTATCTATCCTTAGATTTATCCTAAAGATAAATACCTCTTTAATGTTGCTGTTCAAATTATATTCCCTCAATTAGAGCTAAGGAAACAATACAACAAAAAAACAAAAATAAAATAAAATAAAACCCAACCAAACAAATGCACTTTATCTGCTTGTGAGCAAATAGAACTACCAAGAAAACATTACACAAAGATTTGGCATTTATTTATTAGCATTCCTGGTTTCGAGGCCCAATTCCCAGCCTTCGCTGATCTTCAGAAAGCTCTGTAGCCTAAGCTGGGAAGATTCAGATTCCAATAGTAAACCGAGTGTGTAAAGTTACTGAACAAGGTAACTTTTAATAAGTAACACCTTTAGCCTAGGGTCTTCAGCTACCAAATGGAACAGCACGGTCTTTCCTGCCAAATGCAGTGTGTGTCTGTGTGTCTATGTGTCTGTGTGCCTGTATCTGTCTGTGTGTCTGTTTGTCCCTAAGCATGCGTGTGTGCAGGCGCGTGTGAAGGTGTGCGTCACATGTGTGCAAATGCATATGGAAGCCAGAGGTCAACCTTAGGTGTCATTAATTATTATTATTATTACACTAATTATTAGGTGTTATTCAGGAGTGACCCACCTTGCTCTCTCACTGGCCTGGGGCCTAATAACTAAGCTGGGCTGGCTAGCCGGTTAGCTTCCTTGCTTTCCCAGCACTGGGACCACAAGCATGCATGCGCCACCATGCTATTTGCGTGGATGTTGGCTATTAAACTTGAGTTTTCATGCTTGTATGGCATGCGCTTTACTGACTGAGCTAAATGAGAGAACATTCATAAACTGTGTTTTTAATAATGCTGGGTGGTGATGGCACAGGCCTTTGATCCCAGCTCTCGAGAGGCAGAGGCGGTGGATCTCTGAGTTTGGTGCCAGTCTCGTCTACAGAGCCAGTTCCACAGAGAATCCTTTCACTAAAAAGCAGAGATGGGGGACAGGAGGGGGGGGAGAGGGGGAGAGGGGGAGAGGGGGAGAGGGTACTTACAAAGTGCTAGTCCTGAAGCTTCATGGCAACTGGACAGTCCTAGCAAGGCATTCTGCAGGCTCAGTCTGGGGCGGGTTTGTGCTTTGATTAAGCCCCTGAGCATGCGTGACTCAGAGATGCTCTGTCACCTCCCCCAGGCTTAGATGTTCTCTCATTGCTGTCTCATAAAAGCACACAAATAGATAGCTTGTGGTTTTTCTCAGGCCTGATACATGAGCTAGCTCAGATAGATTTTTTTTTCCTGTTTCCCACAGTTCAGCAGGAACGCTAGCTCTGCCACACCCAGCGCAAGCTAGCACAGCCGTCTACTGCAAGAATGTCATTAAATGGGCAACTTCTTTGGCCTTGCTTCACACATTTCTCAGATAGAAAGGGACACGTTAAACATGACGGTCCATAGGAGTGTTCACTCTGTGAGTAGCATGGGCCCCGCACCATCAGTTGCTCACAAAACATTGTGACGTAGGTGGACTCAGTGGCAAATACTTGTGCTGCAGAATAATCATAGCCTATTCCCCATATTCTCCTGCTGAAGATGTGAGATGTCCTACCCAGACACGGCTTTCCTAATCATTGTGAAATTACGTGCTTCTTGCGACATGTGACACAGTCTGCAGCCCCAGGCAGGTACATACTCATGTTGAAAACCCAAATAGAGTCATTAAGAGACATCACAAAAGAAAGTGTGTGCATCATCTTACATTATGCCTGGGGGTGGGGGGGGGGGAACAACTTGACCAAAAAGTAAATGCCAGAGAAAACAAAAAAGGACAAAGAGACTGAATTGGAAAAAAAAAAAAAAAAACTTTTTTTCAGAAACAGAAGAATCAAATGAAATGCTTAATTCGGATTGTATGGGACACTAAGCAACTATTATTACCTTTCACGAACAAAAATGATGTTTTTGCTATAGGGGAGGCTGTCACCCTTTGAAGGCCTGTGCTAAGAGGACTGTGCAGTATGGATCCGTGGTAGCGCACTTACCTAAACTTTAAGAGGCTCTGAGTTCAATTCCCAGTATGGCAAAAACAAGCAACAATAACAGCAAAATAGACAAATAGATAAAGTCCAGTGATGTCACCAATAACTTGTTTCTACACAACCATGGAACACGAACAACACACAGGAAGAAGATAAATCCTGCAGAATCTTAGTAGCTAACGAACCTGGAGTGGCGGCTTCCCACCAGCCCCCTAATGCTGCCTCTCTCCTCCCCAGGAGGATGTCATGATGCGTGAGCACATGGGCTAGGACTGGAGCAGAAAGTGAGCCATGCACACCTCGTGGATGCCAATGGTCCTCTCCACTGTCCCATGATGCTCACGATGATCTCCACTGCGGAGAGCGTGTAATTCTCCAGCACCAAATGTAATCACATGACAAGAAAGCCTGATCTTGAATGCCTCCCTTAAATCACTCTGTAGATTTGAAAAATTTCAAGACCGTTTAAAATAAAAATCAGCCCTAAAGGCAATGAAGTCCTCTCTCTCTTCCATTTTTTTCTTCTTCATCTCTCCATTTTACACATACTCATATGTGCACATGCAAAAGTACACACACACACACACACACACACACACACACACACACATCCACACATGCACACACATATGCATTCACACACTCCACATACCGCCTTTGTAGTGTTCCTGGGCATTTTGTACATCGTGTAATCTAGCATGAACACGCCAACTTCATATACAGATTCGGTGAGAGTTTGGGTAAATATTCATCCATGCAAGGAGGCCACAACCTGCGAAACCATTCTCCATGTTTATTATCTTTACATAGTATCTGGAAACATGGGTAGACTAAATGCCCACAGAAGCCCAGTAGGCATTATTCATTACTTTGTAGGTATCTCATTTCAATAGCCATAGAAGTAAAGGTCAAAAATGTAATTGGACGACCGGAGAGATGGCTTAGTAAGTAACGGTGCTAGCAACTAAGGCTGAATGACCTGAATTTGATTCCCGGGCCCTACACAATGGAGAGAGAAAGAGACAGAGAGACAAAGAGAGGTAGAGTCAGAGATATACAAAGACAGAGAAACAGAATAGAATTTTAAAATATATTATAGCTATTTATTTGCTTGCATGTGTAAGATTCACCCATGTTTCCAGATGTTTCACGACTCCCCTTTATTTTCAAGTATCTCTATGATACCTGATACATATATTACCTAAGGTAAATGTCAGGTAAGACCTGTAATGCTTGGGGAACAATGACAGGAAAGCGATCTGTTCACGTACGCTACAGATGCACCACCCTGGTCCTAACCACATAACACAGTGTCATAGGCAGATTGAAGCTGAGGACGTGGGGTTTACAGAGACAGAGAAGTGTCTGAAATTCTATGCGCCATGTCCAGATCAGATGGCCTACATTATACTGTATCCTGAACGCAGAATAAGCACAAACCGTCAGTGTTATCTATGTTTTCATGACTGGGGATGTCAAAACCACAGATTTTTTGTTTTTGCTTGGTTTCACTATTTTGTTTTTAGTAAGAGAAAAATGGGGTTATTTTATAGCACACAATTTTTTTTTAAAGGGGCATCATCCTTTGTGAGCAAGAGTACCTGAATTCTAGTCTAGACTAGCTGTTATTTCCAGACATGGATACCATAACTTTTCTGAGTTTGGAGGCTAAAAGAGAATATACATATGTAAATATATGTATATGTATGAGAATATACATATGTACATATATGTATGTATACACACACATATATACATACATATACACATATAGCCTTTATCTGAAAATGGGAAAATAATAGAGAGAAAGGAAAAAGAAAAGGAGGAAAAAAAAGGAGAGAAGGATGAAGGTTGGGAGGGAAAGAGGAAAACATTCCTCTTAAATAGTATGTAGTTGAGATGGTGAGATAAAGAAACATATCTATTTTATTAACCATGTTTGCCAAAGTGGGTTTATATAGAAATAGATACAGGAGTAACAGTGTATCTTAGGTATATATGGCTATAGTTTCTCATGATTGTTTCTTACATCCCACTTTTCCTGTCATGAACACTTACCTCCTTGTTACAATATTACAGTGTTGTTTATGTCTACAGTTCAACAATGCTATGCACATTTCCTTTGCTACAATGAAGACATGAAGATGACTCTCCAGGGTTGTTTCAAACAACATCTCATATAGCCCAGGCTAGCTTCAAATTCCCAGTCCTCCTGCTCCAGCCTGCCCAATGCTAATATGTCTGTTCGTATGCCCGGTTCCTAAGCATGAGTGAGCAGCAGTTCTCAGACCTTGCTCTCCGTTAGAGCCTCTGGAATCTTCTGAAATCCTTCGTGGCAGGATCTGTCCTCATATCATTTAATTCAGAATCTCTGGGGCTCCTTAAGGACTTACACCATAAAACTGTCTTAGAGCCTCCTTACAGTCTACCTAATCCAAACAGAGATGTGAGAGGATGGATAAGGCAGGGGGACAGGACCTCAAAGCCAGACAACTTCCCCTTTGATTAGATTAGAGAGCAAGAAACACTTCATCATCTACATCTCTGATGTAGCCATGTCCTCCTCCTGGACACTCATAGTAGCTCCCGGGTGGCTTTAGGGGAAAAGCAGAAAGATGGTGGTAACTCTGAGCTGAAGACAAAGATGCACGGGACAGAAACAGAAAAGGCATGGCAGAGAGGCAAGAGAGAAGAGAGAGATAAGGCAAAGAAAAGAAAGACGTGGAAGCCAAGAGAAAGAGACAGAGACAGACAGGCAAACAGGCAGACAGACATTTATATATGCACATGAAAATGCATGTGAAAACAATTTTAAAAGGTCATGATATTGAAAGTGCAAGGAGCGTATGAAAAGATTTGGAGAGAGGAAAGGAAAGGAATAAATGATATAATTATATAATAATCTTAAAGATAAAAGAAAAAAATAAGAAAATGAGAAAAATGCCAGAGCCAGAGTGGAGAACGCAGAGCTCTTATTTTAAATGGACTGAGAGGCATGGGAAGGCAGGGCCGCGCAGTCACTTACAAAGCCACAGCCATCCTCATCCAGGAAAGGGTGGGCCTGCAGCAGAGCGCTGATCACATCATTGTACTGCTGGGTGCTGGGGTACCTGTTGACCAAAAGAGATAAGACACAGCTCGGTTCCAGCAGCCCCAATTCAGGTGGACCTGGAGCACACACAGGCTTCTTCTAAACATCCTCTTGCTGTGGTGTCTGTCTGTCCCTGTCTGTCACACATTCTCTTTGTGTGTGTTGGGGGTGAAGGCCTGATGTTCACATTGTTCCTCTGCACAGTCCACCTTGTTTGTTGAGACAGGCTCTCTCCCTGGCACCTGGGCCAAGTTAGACGAGGCGGGCTGGCCAGAGAGTTCCAGGCATCCACGGTCTGGTTCCCCCCAGAGCTATCATGACAAGCATGTGCTGTCATGCCTGGACTTTTAAATGGGTTTGGGGAGCTGCACAGCAAATCTTTAGCCAACTGAGACAATGACCCCAGTCCCTCTTCTAAATCTGTGCAGATTGACCTTTTAATCACTGTGTCATCCATAAGCCAAGGAGACTTGGTTCCAAACAAATTCTCCTCTTCCCCGAGCAGAGATTCCTTTCTTCTCCACTCATCACACCCTCGCTCTTACTCACAGAGAGCCTTCCAGGTACTTGGTCATATCTGCCTGGAGAAACTCGATGATCCTTATCCTCATGCTGTGATCAGGGCACCTCTGCTCTGCCAGCATGCACTTGACGTCATAGGGAAACTCCGGTAAGACGTAGGACTTGGTCCATTGTAATGCTTTATGCCTTGCTAGAATGTGTTTTACATTTCTTCTGTGGAATAAAAACACAAAGAATGAAATTCTGTTTCAAATCTATATGTAATACATTAGTTCTCTGTGCTTTGAAAACCTAGGCTATAAACAACTTCCTTGACAACTAAATATACAAAATAAACACTTGGGTGCTAGAAGTGTCATAACCACATAGGTTTTAAAATTAAGCCCGAAGCTGGAGAATATTACTTCATATATCTTGAAGAGCCTAGTTGTAATGAATATCTCAAAATCGAACGAAATATTTAACAGACAGAAGTGATAAACTGCAATTGTGCCCAGCAAGCAACACCACAATAAATTAGTCTTGGTATCTGGTTAAGAAAAGTCTTATCTATGTTGCTGTTATTTGTAGCAAAACACAAGATGCACCTGTTAAAGTAACTTTTATTTGCCTGGTACAATTGTTCTCAAAGGCTTACTGTCTCCTTCTGCTCTCTTAGGTCTAGTCCTGGAAGCTTCTAGCCTCCATACAATCTAACCTAGGCCTAGAAAGTTTTCAGCCTGTGAGACTTACTGCTTAATAAGCAGACCTTTTCTTGCTCTTTCTGAGCTCTGTCTGGGCTGGCTGGTTCAACCTAGCTGTTCTGGGTCAAACTCCTCTCCCAGCTGACTGATTCAATCGGGCTTTTCTTTACCTCTGAATTGTTCTGTTTGGCCTCTAACGCCAACAATCTTTTCTAACCTGTGGCTCCTCATCCTCTGGCTCATTCAGTCTTTACCTGAGTTCTCTCTTGGCAACCCATCTCTCTATTACTGTCTCAGTAAAACTCCTTCCTCTCTCTTTCATTGCCACTTAAGTAGCTTCCCTTTCCTTTCTCTTCTCTCGAGAGTTGGGCATATCCTATTATGTCAAATCCTCTTTTGATTTCTCACTTTTTCTGCCACTCAATTAGGCCCCACTTTCAAACATGGGTGCTCTCTTCTACAAACTAATTTTACCTTCATTATTTGGGATTAATAGTGTGTACCACCAAGCCTCAATCTAAGCTTTTCTTTACCTGAAATTTGCTCTATACTGAGCTGGCCTTGAGCTCAGATCTGCTTGCCTCTGTCTCCTGGATTAAAGGCACATTTGTATTGCAGCCAGATTACACAGACCTAGAAGGTATTTAGATGTGATCTCTTGCCAGAACAGCCATGTTCTGAATTAAAATTCCTCAACACCTGACTGTTTGTCCTTGGCTATTTCATGGAGGAAAGGTGGCCTCTACACCAAAATAAGACTCAGTGTTCTTACTCCAGAAGATTCTATGCAGGGTGACAGGAAACTATAACATCACAAAATCAGCCACCTGCTGCTAAAGGCTGCAGGCAACCAAATGGATTGTGACCATGTCTGGGCAAAATCGGCTAAACATAAACTTAATAAAATTTACTGGCTGAACCCCTGAAATTGCTGGATTTTGTGCCATATAAGGTAAGAATCCATAAGCTCGTTTATAAAATTGAGCTTCAGAACCACACTAAAACCTCAAATTAGAGGCTTATCCTTCCACATATGCAAAGAAGGCTTCAAAATAACGTTTAGAAACTACCTTCTCTCAAAGGCAGTAGGCAGTTGTCAATCCAGTTCACTATGGGGATTAAGCGGGATGGAAGTAGGAGGACAGTGGCAAGCCAAGTACAAGGCAACAGAGACATTTCTTAAACTAGTTTAAGCAGGATAATTCTCCGAGCATGGTGGAATCTAGCTCAAACAGAATTCAGAGTCCTTTTAAAAAGCCAGGCATTGTAAGCCATCCTTTATTGGAATGCATGTGCTATCTTGGAAGGTGGGGACTCAGGAAGCATTTTTATCTCTCTTTATGGTAAGCTGCCTTGCATATCCATGCCCCTTGGCATTCTCTGTAGCCAAGGTGAAAAATGTCCTGGTTACAATAAGCACGCCAATAATTTCATACTGGATTCAACATAGCCATAGGCAACTCTCGGACACAAATTTCTTCCTGAGATCAAAGTCTCTTTCAGTATGTTCCTCTCTCATTTTGCTCACCTGCACTGCCAACTTTACTGGGAGTGTCCCGTTCCAGCTGCCCTTATGCCACCTCTATCCCTTCCCCCAATCTTGATTCTCCCACGGCCGGATTCATCGTCGTCTCTTACGTACAGAGTCTGAGGGGTGGGAAATGTGAAGGCGTGTTTTGCGCACTAGTCTTTACGCTGTCCCAGAGTCTTAGAAAGGTGAGGCAAGAAGGCCAGTGTTAAATTGTGCCTCAGTATAGTTCAGCACCCATCTCTGTTTCTCCAGTGAATTTTTTAGTAGCAAAGCCAGCCACAGACTCTCTGTAGCCTTCTAAGATTGCATTTACTCACTTTGCTCCATCAACAGGGAGCTTCAATATTCCAATGCTATACAATAGTACTTAGTTCTATTTGTAGCACTTTTTTTTTTTCCTGTATGTTTCTTGTCCTCCACATTAGGGTAGGGACTACAAGGTATGAGATTATTCTATCAAATATTCAGAATGCAGCATGACCCATACAGGATCCACTAAAGATAACAGTCCATCATGCTCTAACTTGACAGATTAGGCAAATCAAAGGCATTGAATTTTTTTTTCTTTACAGTCAAACAACTTAACACATTTTTGAAGTGAATATAATCTAAGCAATGCAAATGAATACAAGTTAAAATGAGTATTATGCAAGAAAAGTTAACTCCCAAAAGTTAACAAATACATTTGAAATCAGAAGCAGATAACTGCAGCCACAGCTATTTCCCATCTATAAAATTATATTTGCATTGTATTGAAAAAATCTGTACTGGATGCTCAAATTAGTCTCAGTGCGTGCAGCTAGCCAGAGTTTAGCATAGCAACAGCAGGTTACCCTACACTAAGTACAGGGATAGAAAGGACTCCCAAGTTAAAAGGGGACTAATATTTCTCTTCTGACTTCTAAGTCAGGGCTCTCTGACAAGCTTACCAGCACAAATGGCAGCTCTGTTTTCCCTCTTGGGTATAAAATAAACCCCCAAGTCATTTAAAGTATGTTAATGTGACCCCGGTCTGAGAGCACTGCTGTTTACTAACTGCTCAGTTCGTACAGTGATAAAATACATATATTCATAATAAAATTTACCATAAAGCCAGCAATTTGACAAATGACAGTATCATTATTACAGTTTCAAATCTGGATACTGACAAATGATAATTGAATATGTTTATGAGATCAAAGTGATACAGTGATATGCCTATGGAATACTTATACAATGTAGAATTATTGAGTCAAGCAAATTAACCTATCCACAATCCCCAATTCTTATCAGTAATCTCACCTGCCCAACTGAAACATCACACTTTTAAATTGTGCATTAATTTTTTTTTCAGTGATGAGATGGAAGTTCTCATAAAAGGCTCATTGGTTTTTCAACTTTGTCTAAGTGTAATAAGAATGAAAAACCACTCATCTCTTTCCAAGAACAGAATGACTATAGTTTCATGGGGTTTATGCAGGGTGATGATGCTATTTCTGTTAAGAACAGGTCCAGAGGAGCCTCAGCCTGTTAAACAAAAACCTTCACAGCAAACATTGAGCATCTGGAGGGAGTGGAAGAGACCGAGCTGTTATACGAGGGCAGGAACTCTATTTCTGAGTACTGCAGATCCATTGCTTAGGAAGTTGATGGATGGTAATTTTGTTAAAAGAATGAGAAGAGTGAATGGAAAGGATTCGCATCCAACTCCCCACTTAAACTCCAAACAGTGCCCCCAGGCAGCCTCATCATGCCTTTCTTTAAACCGTATTTTAATATTTTAAAAAAATTATGTACATTGGTTCTCTGACTGCATATATTCTGGGAATTGAACCCAAGTCCTCTGGAAGAGCAGTCAGTGCCCTTAATTTCTGAGTCTTCTCTCTAGCCGTCTTTAAATTCTTTTCATCTCTTCAGTGGTTGTTTAGAGAATGCTCCTGTCATCAATTCTCCCATCTTTTCTGAAGATTTATTTTTATTTACTTGTGTGTGAGCATGTCACATGTATATGATATCTAAGAGGCCTTAAGAAGTCTTTACTGGAATTACTGGTTGTAAACTGGTCCATGGAGGTATTGAAAAGCTAACTTCGGTCTTCTGGAAAAATCATCAAGTGCTGTTAACTGCTAAGTCATTTCTCCATCTCCCAATATTCTCTTTTCCTTGTTGTTAGCAATTTTACATTGTTTACCAATCATTCAACAATCCTGAAATAATTTATCATCTTTAACAAAAACAGCTAGATTCTCATTTCTGTTCCTCTTGTCCCCAGGTTCCATATATTGAATTCCTAACCTTTATGTGATGTGACTGTGTTGGGGACAGGCTCTTTGTAAGTAACTTGAGCTAGATGAGGTCAAAAAGATTGAACAACACTTAGTATCCTGTTATGAAGAGACATCAGACATGTGTCTTCTTTCTCAGGGTCATGTGAGGACACAGAAAGAAGATGGCTTTCATAGTTAAGGTTACTATTGTTGTGATAAAACGTTATAACCAACCTGGGAGGAAAGAGTTTTGTTTGCTTCACATATACAGAATCAGGGTCCAATGAAGGAAGCCAGGGCAGGCACTCAAGCCTGACAGGAACCTGATGCAGAAGCCATGGAGGGGTGCTGCTTACTGACTTGCTCCTCATGGCTTGCTCAACCAATTTCGTATAGAACCGAGGCCCGCCAGCCCAGGGGTGACACTACCTAAAATGGGCTGGGTCTTCCAACATAAATCACTAATTTTGAAAAATGCTCTCTAATCTTGTCTAGTAACAGCCTGATCTTCTGGAAGCATTTTCTCAGCTGAGTTTTCTTCCTCTCACACGACTACAGCTTGTGTCATGTTAATATAAAAGTAGGTAACACCCGGAACATTTGTAGGGCAGGAAGTATGCTCTTAGCAGAGGATGAACTGCCCATCACTGTGACTTTACATTTGAGACTGTAAAACAGAATATACATTCGTGCTGTGCAAACTTCTCGACTTGTGATAACACAATGTTCCATGTTGCTTTTACCATAGTCTTC